GCTGGCAGCCCTGCTCCTGCTGCTGCTGCTCCCACACACTGATGGTGCCAGCCCCGCTCACACCCACTGATGGCACAGAGCGATTGGTGCCGGCATCATCAGCGGGTGCGAGTGGGGCCAGCGCCATCAGTGGGTGTGAGCAGCAGCTGCTGCCCCAATTGCCCCTCAGGAGCAGGGGGAGGTAGAGAAGCCCTCAGGGGCAGTCAGGGCCAGCAGTCGCCGTTCACACCCGCTGAGGGCACTGAGCAATCGGGATCAGCACTGGGCACCAGCAGCAGGTGCAAGCGGTGGTTCTGGTGCTGGCTGCTGGTGCGAGCGGAGCTGTCATCGGCAGTGGGTGCGAGAGGTGGCTGCTGGCCCCGATCGCCCCTCAAGAGCAGGGGGAGGTGGAGAAGCCCTGAGGGGTGATCGGGGCCGGCAGCTGCCGCTCTCATCCACTGATGGCGCCGAGCAATTGGGGCCCATGCTGGGTGCTGGCAGTGGGTGCGAGCGGAGCCGGAGCTGGTGCCAGCAGCAGGTGCGAGCACTGGGTGGGACCATGGCACTCGGGAGCAAAGAATTTTCAGTAACTAGGCTCCCCCCGATGACAGCGACAGGCACCCCGCCTTGGTCTGGTGGCCCCGCTCACCTGCTTCACCATCCTGCCATGGCTGATGCCCGCAATGTTCCGCACGTGCCCCCTGGTGGTCAGCGCACGTCATAGTGACTGGTTGTTCAGTTGTTCCGTCGTTCGGTCTATTTGCTTATTAGGATTTTATATATGTAGATTGAGATGATAATCTTATTCTGCTTATTCCTGCATCTATACCTCATTAATTGATTAATGTGTGCTGGGTGTTTACTGGGCCAGGCATTGACATGTCAGTGGAATTCCATAATTGCATCCTGCACCTTGCTTCTTGATCTCTAGACCTGAAATCTGAAATGTTCACAGGGAGCAAGATGGATATTAGTGTCTACCCTATGGTGTCTGACGTAAAATGGACTCCATTCCAAGCAAGTTTGGTCCTGAGTCCTGGAAATTCAGCATCTAAGGAGAAAATCATGTGATTGAAAAGGGAGAACTTGAACCTTGAGAAAGTGCTGTACCTGTAACCCACCCCTCCCTCCTCATGCGTAGCACCAACAGGCTCCTACCTTCTCTTCACAGGTCTTCACTCACAGACAGATTACGAAGAACAAGGTAACCCTTGTCAGGTTTCAATATTGCTTTTTCTCATGGCAGGAACTACCTACAGCTTTTACTTTTTACTTTAGCCCTTTATTAGGTCACAGTGGTGGATTTCCAAACCGGTTTTGTACCTGCCTTATCCCTAGAGGGAAGTCACTCCCCCTTGTATTGTGAGGTGACATGGAGTTTCTGCTTCATGTTAAGACCTCCTCTCTCAGTTGGGAGGGCCTGGGCCTGGATCCAAGGAGACAGAAAGGAGTAGAGCCAGAGTTCTCAAAGACAAGCACAGGACTAGGAACCTTGTACAAAGATCTAATTCTCCTGATTTCGTGAAATGGTTTTCACAGATTTCTCACATCATATTCACCTCCCCTCAGGGTTCCTCTTAGATAGTCTGTGAGGAAAGAGATAGTCTCATTCATTGCTGGAGACAATGTAAAATTCCTGAGGAGGGGATTTGATATTATCTAGTAAAATTACATACATATTATTGGAATCAGAAATCACTCTTCTGACAATCTATCCCAAAGAAACAATGCAAAAGGCAAAAGGGCATAAGTGCAAAACTATTCCTTGCAGAACAATTCATAACAATAGGAGACTAGAAACACCACAAGTGTCTACCAATAAGGGACTAGTTGAATAATTTAAGATATGTCTACATCCTAGAGTACTATGCAGCTTTAAAATGAAGACTCCCTCTCTAAACTGCTACATAGTAATCTCCAAGATACATTCTTCAGTGAAAAATCAGGTGAAGAAAAGTATGTAGAGCTGCTCCTGTCCAATACAGTAGCCACTCACCTACTTTACATTTAATAAATCAAATTAAATAAAATTGTAAACTCAGTTTCTCACTAGTGCTCACCAGGATTTATATCAGACAGTGCAGATACAGAACGATTTCACTTCCACAGAAATTTCTATTGGACTGCATTGTTGTAGAATATGCTACCTTTTACTTCTGAACAGAACTTAAAAAAACTAATACACATGTTATATTTGATTATATTTTCAGAAACTGGAAGGATAAACAAAAACTGATAAAAGTGATTACCTATAAGGGGACAGAGGAACAGCCCATGATGGAAGCCAATGATGTATATATTCTCTTAAAAATACAGAATAGAACTTCTGGTTCCAGTCCTGCATGTAAGAAGATGGAAGTTGACAATCCATTCTAACAAGTTAAAAAGGTGAGCAAAATATTGCTTTGTGTTTTGGTCTTTACAAGGATAAATTGTCCAGATTTTTTTAAAAATCTACTGCAGAGACATGGGATAGCTGGCTGTGTGATCTCAGAAGTTTGAAAGAACCCCTCTGTGCTTCAGTTTCCTCTTCTGTAGTATGAGGAAACCAATCATTACTACCTTATGGGTTGTGGTTTTGAGAATTAATTCAGTTAGTACATGAAAACACTTAGAACTCTGATAGGCACACAGCAATAGCTCAAAAATTTCTAGCTGTTTTTTTAAAAATAGAATGTGATATTTTTATAATTTTATAGTTTGCATATGGGTTTAAAAGATTAAGTCTTACAACTGATTGATAGATCTCAGAGGGAAGGTGGTGGGAGTGGGAGGTTGGGAAGAGATTAACCAAAGAATTTATATGCATATATGCATAGCCCATGGACACAGACAATAGTGTGGTGAAGGCCTGGGGTGGGGTTGGAACTGAGTAGAGGGGGCAATAGGGGGAAAATGGGAGACATCTGTATACTCTCAGCAATATAGATGAAAAAGACTCTTACAACTGAAAATTATGCATCAACTGATGCATGTTTTAAATCACTAGTTTTCAGGATAACCACTCTTAGGTACCCAAGTGATTATCATGAGAACATCTCTAAAGCACTTGGACCAACTGATCTCAGGAAACTCCACCACCATTTCTGTATGTGGCTGAACAGAAAGGCGAGGGCTCACCCAGGATCCTGCCTGCTCCTCACGTGCCTTCTATGCACAGCCACTGCAGGTGCTCCACCTGCAGCACACCCTGTCCAGGGCCACCCCTGTCCTCTGCACACTGCTGCAGCACTGGGCCAATCCACCCTCGTCCCTCACCTGGAGGCTGCCTGGTTCCCCTAATGGTTATCCCCACAGCTATCTTGTCCTTGAACAGTCCATTCTCCACACAGCAGCCAGTCACTTTCTGAGAACATGAATCAGAGCATGTCACTCCCACACTCCACCCTCAGAATAAACTCCTTGCAAGGCCCAAATGATGTGGCTCCTGTCTGCCCTTTGACCTCCTCTCCTACCATCTGCACTTTGCCAGGCTCCAGCCACCGGAGCTTGGTGTCTTCTCCTGGAACACTTGGTGCCAGCGACCCAAAGACATGCCAGGTCTGCTTTCCTCTTGTCATGAAGGACTCAGCTCCAATGTCACTTCCTGAGAAAGACCTTCACTGACAGCCCATCTATAGTAATCCCTGTCCCCATCATTCTCTACCCTATTTATGTTTGCTTTCTTCAAAGCACTCATCCCCATATGAAATTGCCATGCTTACTGAGGTGTTTACCTGCTTACTGCCTGTTTTCCCAAACTAGAATGGAACTCCAGGGCTCCTGCCTATGTTGCTCTCTGTGCTGTGTCCCCCATGCGTGCTTCATATATAAATCCGTGACTTAATATTAAATATTATATAAATAAACAAGTTGCTACCTATTTGTTGACAGGAGCAGACACAGATATTTAAATTTGAGTTGCAGAAGTTGACAAGGAAATTAGACATCACAGGATTGAAAATTTTAAGTGTTCGTTGCAAATTCAGAGCAGTGCTTTTTAAACCTGGATGAATACCAAAAACAATTGGAGTTATTACTCAAACTGTACACACCTTCTCCCCACCACCCTGGTTCTGATTCAGCAGACCTAGAGTAGACCAAGGAATCTGGAATTTTAACACGCACTCACTGATGATTTTAATGGAGTGGTCTGAGGACCACACTTGGAAAAAGCCTGACCTAAACAGCTGACATTTGTGTAGCATTAATTTAATGTCTACCATGCAGAGTTCTGTAGTATCTGAGGTATCTCTGTTAATGTAATTACTCAAAAGTGCACTGGTCCTTCCCTGCTCCTAAAACCACAGCTTGCTTTCCTACCTGGATCAGACCTAAACTCCACAGTGTTCCTGCAGCATTGGGTATTGCTATCCTGTTGAATAGAAGACACTGGAGGAAAGGGTGGCGACTTACCTGAAGGGTCCCTAGATGGGAATCCTCACTCTCACTCCAGGAGTCTGTCTAACACACTCGACATCACACTTGGTTCTTCTCCATCAGAGTCCACACCCTTCTCTGACTTTCTACTAGAAGGGAGAGTCAGGGGATAAGACAGCACATGGACAGAGAGGAACATGAGAGGACGGGAAAGCGCATGAAATGCAGGGAAAGGGGTGAGGATGTGCTTCCTGTCCCCACTCAGTTCACTGGAGGCTGTGCAATGACGTCTTGCCTCTTCCCCAGCTGATCACACTCCTCACAGCAGTGACACTGAAGTTCACACATTGTGGAAATGTGGGCTCATCCCTGCTTGCTGTTACATGTCCCAGTGTTCTCTCTGGTAGTCATGCTATGATGCTAATGCCAGAGGCATCACAATGACAGGGGAAAAAGTTAAAGTGGGAATGGAGAAATAAAATTTAGCAAGGGCATATTATGTGCCACAAATTATAGGTTGTTATTTTCAGACTTTTTCTCTTCAATTTCTCAAAGTGATGCTCTGAGGTGGGCATATTTACCTCCTTTCTATAGAATTGGAGATAACCTCAGACAGCAAAGTACATGTTCAAAGGAGGTGTCAAATGGACACAGCAGAGGCAGTGGCGACAGCGAGAGGATGAACAACAAGTTCGACGCATTGAAAGATGATGACAGTGGTGACCATGATCAGAATGAAGAAAACAGCACACAGAAAGATGGTGAGAAGGAAAAAATGGAACGGGACAAAAGTCAGAGCAGCAGCAAGAGGAAGGCTGTTGTCCCGGGACCAGCAGAGCATCCCTTGCAGTACAACTACACTTTCTGGTACTCCAGGAGAACCCCCGGCCGACCCACCAGCTCACAGAGCTATGAACAGAATATCAAACAGATTGGCACCTTTGCTTCTGTGGAGCAATTCTGGAGGTTTTACAGCCACATGGTACGTCCTGGGGACCTGACAGGCCACAGTGACTTCCATCTCTTCAAAGAAGGAATTAAACCCATGTGGGAGGATGATGCAAATAAAAATGGTGGCAAGTGGATTATTCGGCTGCGGAAGGGCTTGGCATCGCGTTGCTGGGAGAATCTCATCCTGGCCATGTTGGGGGAACAGTTCATGGTTGGGGAGGAGATCTGTGGGGCTGTAGTCTCTGTCCGGTTTCAGGAGGACATTATTTCAATATGGAATAAGACTGCCAGCGACCAAGCAACCACAGCCCGAATCCGGGATACGCTTCGGCGAGTGCTTAATCTACCTCCCAACACCATTATGGAATACAAAACCCACACCGACAGCATCAAAATGCCAGGCAGGCTGGGCCCCCAAAGGCTCCTTTTTCAAAACCTCTGGAAGCCACGGTTGAATGTGCCATGACCTTCTCCCTCTCTGGATGGCACCATCATTGAAGCTGGCATCATCGGAGTCTCTTGTTCTGTTGGCGTGCTACCTGGAAGATTCTTCTGTCCTGGACAAGAGGAATTGGAAGAGCATTTTATGTTTTAAGAACAGGCTGACACACAGCAGCTACTACAACAGCTGAGATCACTTAATAAATGGTGCTAAACTAAAAAAAAAAAATGGACACAGCAGCCAACTTGAAGGCACTTTCATTGGCCAAATCTGAGACAATTTTTATAATAATTATTTTTTATTATTTTTTTTAAATCCTCACTCTACCTGAGGACATGCTGAGAGAGAGAGAGAGAGAGAGAGAGAGAGAGAGAGAGAGAGAGAGAATCAGTTGCCTGTTGTATGTTCCTGACTGAGGATCAAACCTACAACCCAGGTATCTGCCCTGACTGGGAACTGAACCAGCAACCTTTCAGTGTACAGAACAATGCTCAACTAACTGAGCCACTGCAGCCTGGCAACAATTTGAGCATCAAAATAAATAATTATAGTGTCAGATGGTAACCCTTAGAGCAAAATTGGAATCTATGAATTATAATGATATCCTATATAATAAAGAGGTAATATGCAAATTGACTGTCACATCCTCGAAAAAGATGGCCACCCCCAGGGCAGTTGGGGGTGATCAGGCCTGCAAGGGAGGGCAGTTAGGGGTGACCAGGCTGGCAGGGGAGTCATTAGGGGATGATCAGGCTGGCAGGCAGAAGTGGTTAGGGGCAATTAGGCAGGCAGGCAGGTGAGCGGTTGGGAGCCAGCAGTCCTGGATTGTGAGAGGGATCAGGCCTAAAATGGCAGTTGGACATCTCCCAAGGGGTCCCATATTGGAGAGGGTGCAGGCTGGACTGAGGGACACCCCCTCCCTACTGTACAAATTTCATGCACTAGGCCTTTAGTACAAAAATAAATAAGTAAGTAAGTAAGTAAATAAATAAATAAATAAATAAGAAGAGAAAGCTCTACCTCCAGTTAAGTTTCAATTAATAAACCTGGAAAGAATGAGAGAATTATAAGAATAATATTTGACAACAGAGTAATAGGTGATTCAGGCTAGAATTATAAAATGATGCTCAATCTGTGCCAGCCCACACTGCAGTCAAGAGCCACCATGGTAACCATACTGGCCAAGTGAAGCTTTGGAAAAAAACCATTACTATTATTTGGTTCCTATTATGTGTTATGAAGTGAATAGGACTGACATGATCACAGTAATTCAACTCAAGTATTCCTCACAATAATGACTCTTAGCAGCTTCAGCAATCTACACACATACAAACATACTTACTCATACATGCTGTCTCTTTCCATCTGTCTCACCATCCAAAAATCCAGGAATTCATTGAGGTGGATTTGCTGGGAGACAAAAAAGAAACCCCCCACAATTCAACTGGTTCCATTCTAACCATACATATAAAGTTGAAAGTTACCATAAGTATTTTCTTTTAGTGATTGATTTTTCTGGCGATGACCTGTAGAATTTTCTCTGTGACATTTTTCTCTCTAGTATCAGTACATTGCCAATAATGCCTAGAAGCTGATATAGAAACACAGTCAAATTTATATTGTGCATGAAGTAGCTTTTCCATCCTAGAATAGCCTGTGCTTTTGACCAAAAAGATCATGCTATTATTAAACATTTGGCTGCTGACAGGTCAGTAAAAATATAATAATTGGGAATTCTCTTTACAAATAATGCCTTTTATAATAGTATCAAAAAGTATGAAATGCTTATGGATAATGTCTACAGATATACAAAGCCTATTCATTAAACACTACATGACATTGCTCAGAAAAATTGAAGAAAATCTAGGTAAATGGAGAGAAAACTATCTTTGTGGTTCAGAAGACTCTAAGGTGTCACTTCACCCCAAATTGATCTATATATAGTTTATGCAATCCCAATAAAAATCTAGCAAATATATTTTTTAAAGAATCAACAGGCTAATTCTAAAGTTCATGTAGAAATTCAGAGGCCCTAAAAGAGCAAATATTTTTTTTAAAAAAGAAATGCAGAAGACCTAGACTATGAAAAATAACTTAGAAAATGAAGTTGGAGGATGAATATTCCCAGATTTGAAGACTCATAATAAACCTACCATAATCAAGGTAGTGTGGTATTATAAATTTAAATTAAAATTTGATACCATTACAACTTCACAAGAATTGCTAAGATTAAAAAGACTGTCCATACCAAGCACTGTCAAGGTCACGGAGGATGAAACTCATATACACTGCTGGTGGCAATGAAAAATGGTACAACCAGTTTGGCAGTTTTTTAACAATGGTAGTCTCACATCTACCATCTGATTCAACCACTGCACTCCTAAGAATTTACCCTCGAGAAAGAGAGCATGCAAAAACTTATACACCAATGTTCATTGGAGCTTTCTTTAAAAAAACAAATTTAGAAAAAATTATATCCATATATTCATCATAGTATAAAAAGAATGAACTATTAATACATGCAAAACATGGATACTCTAAATAGGCTGAATGAAAGTAGCCAGGCCAAAACTAACAAAACAAAAAAGTTTGATTCTACCTAAATAAAATTATAGGACACAAAAACTAATCTATGGTGAGAGAAGATCAATGGTTGCCTAGGTACACAGCAGAGTGAGGGGGAGGGAGGCCAGGTCATAAAGACCTGAAACTGGTATGTACTGGAAAAGTAAACATAACTATATTTAAGAGTATCTGGTTATTTTAAGAGATAATGGCTAGGTATCAGTATAATAAGACATGCTAAAGTAATTATTACTTAAAATAAAAATTTCTTATAACTGACATTTTAAAATAACATTTGGAAAAATTCCTGACTTGCTAAATGTTTTAATTATAGAATAGATAAAAATGTGTGGGCCAGGGAAGAAACTATATAACAATCTCAAATTTCTAGGAAGACTTTCTAACCAAATGTATATTTCAACACCCATCTAAAAGAAACATGGAAATCATTGAATCATATTACTAGTGAGAACCATTTGGTCTATTTATTACAAATGCATGTGAAAGATGACATTTCTTCCTCAGGATGGACAATTTATTACTTTCAGACAAAAGTGGACATGTTTAAGGTGGGCCTCCGGGCTACTACAAACCTTGTAGCTACTGATGGAATGACATTCCACCGGCTAAACCGCTTTTCTGTCCCACCCCCATGAGATCAAAGCAGCTTCTCTACTTTGAGGCTGGTGTGTGACCCTCACAGGAGCGATCCCACTACATGCTTTTATCGGGTCTATGAACTCACTGGAGCCAGGTGTCCTGTCCCACTGCGGATGTGAAGTGTCGGGGTCTCCTGAGGACCGCTGTCCTGGAACCTGGAGCAGAAGCCTCAGCAGCTACCTGGACACAGATCTTCAGAACCTGCCTCCGTCAGACACCTGATAGGAGCTGGGCCGCCGCCATGAGGGGCTGCTCATGTGGGGAGAGACAGATCCAGCATCACCATGCTTTCGTGGTGTAACTAAGTGCCCCACCAGGCGAGGCACTGGGTTGGTGACACTGACACTAACACAAGTGGGTAGTGGTCCTAACAACCAGATGTGATAACGGGCTGCTCACGGAGCCCTTTCTCCGTCCCTCCTCTATCCCCTAACAACACAGTTGGAAAGGAGTAAGGAGTGGCCTGGGTTCATACAGGCATCATGATCCCGCAATAACCACAGGGCCGAGGGCTTACTCATGTGTCATCACTGCACGTTCACAGCCACCCTGTGGGTTAAACATTCTTATCCCGGGTTCACAGAGGGGGGCGCTGGGGCTCAGAGAGAGTCCTTACCAGTCTTACCTCAGGAGCCCCTGCCTTTGGAAAGTAGCTGCAGGACACCACACTCACTGGAGCCTGGCGGGACCACACTGGCTTTACCTATGAGACCACCGGGGGACCGAACCCTAAAGCGGGAAAGAGGAAACTTAGATCTGGATCTCCTTTGTCTTCCGACATCCCAGGACGACTCAACCCCCACGGCCAACACCCACAACCTCTGAGTCCCCAATGTCTGAAGGCGGGGCCTGCTTTTTGGCCAGGCCAGGTCTCTTTTAAAAAGTCGTCACAGTCGCCCTGTTGACGTCAGGTTTCTATGGCAACCAGGATGCGAAGCCTCATTCTTCATATCAGAAATGCCTTGGCACATCCTTCCAGCCCCTGGCCCTTAGCTGGAAGCAAAACACCTTTCCTCTTCAGGCTGCTATGGGAGAAAGCACACTAATTAGAGGCACTAGACTGGGAGCCAGACAATTGGCGGAACTCTGCCCGGTTTGTTGAAACATGAGTCTGTTGTCAGGAATTGTTTTTTATTTACAATGAGACTGTGGCCCTGGCCGCTGTGGCTCAGCTGGTTGAGCATCCTCCCATGCACTGAGAGGTCGCAGGTTGGATTCCTGGTCAGGGCACCTGTCCCGATTGCGGGCTCATCCCCGGTAGGGGGCATGCGAGGGACAGCAAATCAATGCTTCCCTATCATCCATGTTTCTCTCTCTCTCTCTCTCTCTCTCTCTCTCTCTCTCTCTCTCTTTCTCTCTCTCTGTCTCTCTCTCTCTCCCTCCCTCCCTCCCTCCCTTCCTTTCCTTTCTCTGTCAAAAATCAAATACACACACACACACACACACACACACACACACACACACACAGTAGGGGAGTATTATTAGTAAACAGAGACCCAGGGAGGAGCCTGTGGTTCTTAGAGATAAGCTAGCCTCAGAGAGTGAACATGCAAATCAAGATCTAACTGTGCAGCTTTGATTGGACAGGGAAGGTCTCAGCCCACTGGTCAAAATACAATTCCAGGAACTCCTTTATAAGGGCTGGCTCAGCAGGCAGGAACCCAGTGCAGGAGGCTTGGCAGCCTAGCCTGAGGCTTTTCCCTGATATGCAATGTGCTTCAGAGGCCTCTGTAAACAATTGCTGCTAGACTCTATGAATTTGTGCCCTGTTAACCACAAGGAGTCCTTTTGGTAGGTATATTTTTCTTGGGGTTCAACAAAAATCATAAGCCATCATAAGCAGTTAGCCATCTGTGGCAGAGAACTAATAACTGTGTATAATCATGTGACTTAATGATATAGAAACATACACACATAATTTCATTTAAGCAATTTGGGAATTATTTCAAGGAAGCAGGACTAGAATATTGTAGTTACTTAGTAGGCAGAAACTTAGTCACTTG